GGCCAGCGGGCAGCCGAGGTGCACCACACAGCGGAGCCAGGCGCAGGGTGGGGCTTTGAGCCGCTTCCCTCCCCAGGTGCGGGTGCGGGGTCAGGATTTTTATTTCCTGGAATTCGCAACCTGCTCCGCTGCAGTAGAGCTGCAGCCCTTGGCACAGATGGATGTGGCCTTAGTCGCTGCCTTTGCTATTCTCACAGTTGCGATTGGCCGGACATCTGAGAGTAAGTAAAACTGTACTTTACCTGTATTTTAATTTCTTTAATACAAAATAAATAAAAAGTGAGAGACTGCTTAGAATTAAGTCTGTTTAAGCCTTTACCATTCTGTAAGGGATCAAAAATGGTAGTTTTAAGGTCTGTGCTATAGCCAGGGAAAATTTCTGAAGGGAATAGCTTACTCTTTAAACTACATAGAATAGTCGCCACTTGTTTAAGGGGAGTTGGTTTCACCTTAGCATTTCCTTGGCTCAGATCAGGGGACTTTGTGTTTCTCTAAAGTGGTTTAAACAAGGAAATGCTGGGTAGGTAATTTGTAATAATACCAAGAACAAGGTAGGTGAGACACTAACTGATAAAGGCCTTAGAGTTTAAAAGCAGTCATTTCTCAAGGGAACGTAAACAAAATTTCATTGTCTAAAGGGATTTCTTGTTCAACTACAATTTTCTTTTTTCCAAGCTTCTCCAAAGTGAGTGTATTTAGAAGAGCCCTTAATCTTCTTTTTTCTTTTAAAATCAGGTTGCCCTGGACGGCAAAGATTTCAAACCACTTATTTTATGATCCACTTCATGAAGTTGGTTTCTTAGATGCAGAAGAGAGACTTTGCTCGTGGCTTTGCCCAGCCTTTGGTGTAGTGTGTCTGCAGGATTGTAGAGACCTAAGAAATTAACAGTTGTGTTTTGTCTTCTGTCATCTTAATTGAAGCATTTCAAAACAGAGTAGCCAGTTCTTTGCTTGAATTCTGAGATCTTTGTAATTTTCTATTGCAAGATAAGCTGTGTTGTCCGTGAAGGTAACAACCTCTTTCCCAGATTTTCCAAAACTTGGAGCTTCTGCCTTTGAGCCTTTGAGATGCTCTTTTCTCAAGTCATTAAGAGCAGAAACTGCTCAGTTGCCTATGGATTTGGGCAGCACGTGGACAAGTCTACCTCAAAACTTCAGCCAGTGAAAATGGTCCCTGCCCCTCCTGGCGTGAGGAGACTCTGCAGGCTTTTCCCTACCGTCCTGGTTGGCAAGGTCGGGCGCGCTTGGGACGCCCATGCGCGCCGCTCGGAGCGGAGGCGTCCGTACACCGCGTTCTTTGATTCTGAGCTCCCAGGCCCAGAGCAGCATCTCCCGCATCTGAGTTTCCACATAAAACCATGCTCCTTGGCTGAACAGCCGCCCTCAGCGGAAAGGGGTGGAAAGGAGCGGAATGGCACGAGGCTGCGCAGGTGCCCCAGGCTGGGGATGTGGCTCTGCCGAGTCCCAAAGGGTGCCCGTGCCTTGGGCACCGCCGCTCCCGGCTGCTGGGACCAGAGCCAGGAAAGCCCTCTGGTGGCCACATCTGCACCCAGGCACGAGCACGAGACACCGCTCGAAAAATAGCAGATAACCTACGGTCACATATAGATGTGCAACAGAATTATTTTCATTCTTAAAATATTTAGGGTTTTTTTTTTTAATTTTTGATTTATAATCCCTGATATTCTCCTGTCACGGCATTGTTGTCAGCACTGGGCCCTTACAGCATTGCAGAGATTCTGCAATGCTGTGAAGTTGGCAGCTTTGAATGGGAGACTGTGGAGCAGATTAGGCGAGATAGTTTATTCTTATTTTAGAGGCGATTGATTTGAATTTATTTTGGGAGACACAGAGGTTCTCTTGTGAAGGCTCCAGTATGTATATTTCCTTCACAAGATATGAAGAGATCAATTTGATATCAGAGGAAAAAAAAAGTGTTAAGTGTCATGGGATTTGAATGACAAGTTCTCTGACATGCTGCCTGTGTGTCCTCTAGTGCAGGAGCGTCCTGAGAAGTGGCTGTTGCTTCTTGAAGCACAACTGTTTCTCCAGTGTCGTTCAGTTGCACTTCTCTGTCATACACTTTTCCCAGTGTACACATAGTTTTACTCTTATTTCATGCCTCAGAATGTTTCCAGCTGATGTTCTCTTCACCATCTTGAAGGAGACAAAGTCTTGAATAAGCCCTGGAATACAGACTAGGAATACAAACAATTTAAAATTGCTGCTCCATGGTGGAGCCCGTGCATGCAGCCACTCACAAAGGATAGAGAACTGCATGCCAGAGGTCAGAGGATGGGTCCCAGGCAGCACCTGGGCTCTGTGTAAATTATACAGCAGAGCTGGGCAGGATTTTGGCACAAGCAGCAGTTTTGTCATAGGCCTTGTCCTCATGCGTAGGAACAGAGAGCTGCAAATTGATGTTGATTTGAGCAACAATTGTGTGTTTCAAAATCATGGCCCTGTGACGCACCCACCCATCCATCCCCACCAGCTTCCAGCCTTGAAAATGCCCATCTTAGCAGAACAGGAAAAGCATCATTGAAGTTGAATTGATTCGAGGCCACAGCATTATGTGCTGTGTTATTTCCATAGCCTAGCATCCTTTCTGAATCTTGAGCCCCTTACTCAAAGTTATGCTTTAATTACTACATAGTCAACATCATGGAAAGGATTAAGCCGTTTTGCAACATTAGAGTTTCCCATCTCATTCCCTGCTGTTAAGCAACCTCCTTGTCTTAGCCGAGTACAACTCTTCTGCATTTGCCAAGAATTCTAGGATCCTTCTTTGTTCCCCTGCCAGGTAGGATCAAAACCTTCTTCATAACAAAATAGTTACTGACTTGCTTTGGGTTAGGCTGAAAAGATCTGCTTTGAGGTACTGAACTTTTAAAACAGCCTTGAGTTTGTTTAGATTAAAGGAACGTTTTCTGTCAGCTTCCTGAGCAAACGAGTACTGAAAGATCCACCTTATAGTAAAGTGTAGGTAACGTGATCACTAATATACAAGAACAGCACCTGGAGTCTATGTTCATAAACCAGCAACACTGGATTAAGAGATGAAACTTGTCTATAGAAATAGCTAGAGCATTTCAGTACACAGTCCTAACGAAGCAAGAGATTAGTCCCATTAATCAAGGCAGTATTGTTTCCCCCAGTTGTATGGACCTTGCTTTGTAACTACATGAGAACTCCATTAGGAAATGCTACTGCCTAAAACTGTTAGGCCCAGGTATGATAAGGAAAAATTAAGCACGTTTTTATTCAAATGTGCTTGACGTATTCAAGCTATGATATATTCAGATGTGCTCGACGTAATGTGGTCACTAGAAAGACAAAGCTTCCTATGCTGTGAAAGCTGTCCTTTCTCTCCACTTCTTTTGAAAATAATAAGACTCCATATAATGTGTTAAATGCAGTGAAAAGATTAGCACTGATGTATGCCAGAAGTGTGAGTGGCAAAGCATGCATCCTAAGAGGAGATCCTTTCTAGGCAGCTTTGAGAGAGAAAGTGGGCACTCGAAGGTGTATTCCAGTTATTCTCACTTGCCATCTGCAAGGATCTATGCTTAGTTTCTCCTAGTGAACTGAAGACTGGAGAGCCATAAGACTGAATTATTTGGATGCCGCAAGAGCATCTGAAACAGAGTTTGAAAAGCAGCAAGTGTTTCCTTGGTGAGAGTTCCTGAGAAAGAGAGGCCAGAAAGGATAATAAAACCTGCCCCAAAATGGCAGAGCAAACGCTGAGGGGACCAGTCTCCAGATTCAGCACCAAGCTTGTAGGTCCTTTTAAGCTGCTGTCAACTGTGGAGCTGCTGTAAGACTGTCGGCTGAAGAGGCTCCATGTCAGACAGCGGCTCTAAATACTTGTTGGGTAGGAGCGCAGGGCTGTGTTTCTGATTGAGCCATTGACAGCCATCGTGACAAATGAAACGAGCGTCACCGGAAAAATCTCAGAGACCACATGAAAGGCCAGACAGCATCTTTGTGGAAAAAAAAAATCACAATTCTTTCAATTGTTGTTTAGACCAAGGATCACCAACTACTGAGCCTGGTCTAACTACTGAAACCCAGTGATGTTTCTGGTGCTGGGCTGAATTCAGTAGCTTTGGTTATTGCTCCCTGGTTCTACCTCACTTGTAAACTGATTCCTGTTTAAGCAGGTACGAGTTACCACAAACATCTCTGTCAGCACAAGTTTGGCAGATGATATTTTCAGGGTGTCTGACAGAAGAACCCTGATACTCTGTATTCATTTGTGATTCAAAGATAGATAATTTGTCTGCAATATTGCAACTGCACTTCCATGCGCAGAACAAAACACTTTACTTAGAAGTGGTACTTTTTGGTCAAAGAAGTAAAATGAGTGTGGATTAGACTTCCACAAGGCAAGCATCCATAGAGCCCTTTGAAAACAAGACAGTCTTCCTAAACACGTATAAAGTATCTAGCAGGCTCTCGGTCTCTGTAAGAAATGCATTTGTCCCCCTAGCACTGATATTTCAGTCACATTCTCTGCAGAACTTCATGCTGCTCTTTAGGTATTTGCACTGGCTCCACAGGCAGTCCATTGCATCCTCCTGTCTAGAGGTGATGTTTCTGGCCTTTCTCATAAATTATATGCGAGTGGTTTAATGCTGCAGTTCAACGACTTACTGAGCATCAGGTAGCCACATTCAGTTCAAGATTGCTGCCTATGCAGGGGAATTTGTCACATGAGACTAATGAGATGCTCAAAAACCCACCTGGGGGCACCAATAATTTTGCTTCATATTCATCCTATGATTTCATGTGTATTCTTCCTTATACAGCTACAAAAGTGCATCAGAATTAATTTCTTCATTTTCAGTTATCAAGTGTGTGAAGGACAATGCAGTATAGGTGGTGCAGGTCTAGGGAAGGGAGCAAGTGGTGTTTCTAAGTACAGAACGCAGGTAAAGGTGAGAGATTACAGACAGGCAGTGGAGCAAATAACTGAGAAAGTTTAGAGGAAACCTGCTTTGCTGTAAGATCTTCTGTAGCATCCAGCTATTCCACAGGAGCCTGGCAGCGCTGGCCTTCCCACATCTTGTCAAAAGAAGCACAGGGGTGGACGTCTTCAGAAAGGCCCTGAAACCTCACACAGAGTTCAAGATATAACTGCCTGTCCTTAAGCTTTTATCCTGCCTAACTGCAGCTCCCCGCTGCGCGTCGCCAGCCTCCTCTGCCTCTCCCGAGCTCGCCAAGGCTCCTCGTGGCTCACTCCAAGCTTCCAGAGGAGCCTCCTTGCCTTGCTCTGTACAGGCATCTTTTTCAGCCGGATTTTCCCCCTTCTCTTGTGTGATGACTTGTGCTCCAAGACTAAGTCATTACCTATAGATTAGCCTGATTTACAGGCCAGGAGAAAAAAAAATCAAAATATAGAGAAAGGAGACGCCCTCCCCCTGCTCCTGTTTGTTCGGTGGGCCATGGGAGTCCTTGCTGTGCTCACTTTGAAGCAGAGGTTTGAAGCTGAGACCCTCAAAAGCTTGGGTTGTCCTTGAGCTGATGGAGGGAATCCTGTTAGGGGGTGTAGTTTTGTATTAGGATGGAAGAAAAGCAAGCACCACAATCTTGATACGTGTCACTGAAAATCCTCGAGTTTTGATGTGCCTTTGAAGCCGCAGTGACTTTTAGCAAGCAGAGAGCGATCTGCAGGGGATGGTTTCCTAGCAGAGACACATCCAGTCCTGCGCCCCCAAGCCCTTGGGAGAGAGGAGGAGAAGGGAGAAAGCACAGAACCCAGCAACAGCGTTAATTACTTCAGAAACAAAAGCCCAGGGGGCTGCTTCAGCCCTGCAGGGCAGTGTTTTTTAAATTATACTCCTAATCACTTCCTGTGTTGTTAATGTCAGTGACTTTCTCACATACACACACACACAAATAAATAAAAGCTGCTTTTTTACACCTCCTGTAACAAGCCTTTACAGACGTGTGCATTAGAAGAGGTGAGGAAGGTGTTCGTTAACTAACAAAAGCACCCATTCCTAATTCAGAAAAGTCAAGAGGATGCTATCTCATCTAATGAGATATACACATGAACTAATTGTATATCATATCTATGTTATTTCTAATTTTGTTGTTATTCTTTTCAGCTTTGTTTCCTGTGGCCTTTAGCTGTTGCACAAAAATATCAGAGGAAATTCCCAAGGGAATTCTTCAAAGAGTGGAGAGGTTTGACATCCAGAAAGCTGATGGCCTGTGCCACTTAGAAGCTGTTATGTAAGAGATACTTGGGGTGATTCTCTACGAATGGGTGGCCTCAATTTAAAAACTGTTAAGTGCCATTTATGCAAGTGAAATCTTCAGTATGCTGACATGAATTCAATGAAAAATAAGGTCCCGTGTAATTTTAAAACTGTCCTTTTATGTCTTATTTTAACTTCTGATTGTTAAAAATTGAATTTTCAGCATTATCATTGAGCCTGCACTAACTTTGAATCTTGTTTTATGTTCAGCACTGAAGAAACATTTACACACCTTAAGACTTCTCTGGTCCAGAGTCCCCAAAAAACTTGCCTAAATTAATTAAATCAGCTTCACTTTCAAATGTAGACTATTTCTATTTAATGTGTTTGGGGGAGTGGGGTTGAATTTCACTGTTTGTGTTAAATTGATAAATTCTAAAGAAATCCTAATAAGTACCTTTCATTCTTAGATATTTACATGATGATGATAAAATGTTCTACTTAGTACATCTGTATTGGCAATACCTGATTTACATTGATTGTCTTGAGATTCAATGGAGAAGAAAAGCTTTTTTTATTATTTTGGAAAAACATGTAATCTTGAAAACCTTACATCCTAACTTTTACAAAATCTGAAGTAAGACAAAGTAAATAGATGGTATATAGTCAAGCATAACTTTGCAGGCTATGTATGAGAGTGATACATATGGTTATTTAAAAATATGTATTTTTTCACTTTTCCTTGAAACTGACAATTATTTTTCCTTGTGGCAGTCTCTACATAGAAGGCAGAAAGTTCTGTGTAAGCCCACGGATTAAAAAAGTTAAGAAATGGATGAAGAAGAAGAGATTAAGTATTCACCAAAAACGTGGTAGAAGACAAAGAAGAACCAAAATTGAAAAAGAGAAAAAGAGAGAGAGAGAGAGAAGCGGCAGTGACGCAGGCGCTGTGATGCAAACCCCCGTGGACTACGGCACTGTGTACAAGGACAGCGGAGTGCACCGGGGATGGTCACGATAGCACTGAAATGACCTTTGCATTACCCAGGGTCTGAGGGAAATCGCTGTGAGAAAACATCACCTGAACTCAAGAATCGTGACCAGCAAAATGACATGGTCTTTTTGACAGTGCCTTGTAGTTACAAGTGCTCTGCCGTATCTCTTAGATCCACAGTAGGGTTAGAGTCTCCTTTCCCCTGCCTGACTTTTGCGGCTCCCAGTACTTTCACATCCCATTAGGCAGTTCCTTCTCCTTGTCCCGCTGTCCCAGTGTCCTACATTGTCCCTTCCTCTCCTGCTCTTCTCTCTTTGCAATCATGTTGCCAGGGAGGGTTGCCCATCGGAGCCTTTCTTTGAGGACTGCTAACGATGCCAGGCTGGCTGCCCGCTCGGCGGCCTTCATGGCCTGACACAGTCCCAGTTCCCTCCCTCCTTCCTTGAAATGCTTCAAACTAATTTCATATTCCCATAAAGCCAACTCAGTCAAATCAGCTCTTCCCTTGGAGAAGCACACGTGAGTAACAAGTAAGAGAAAAGTGAGATCTTAAACAAGAGTTAAGTGCTACAGAATGGACGTTCAAAAAATCCTTAACCTGGGAGTATAATCTTCTTCCTCCTCTAGCTGTTAATTACTGTTTGTTGTTCTCATTTGTTGCATTAGATTTAAATTAGCTCCTCAGGGTTTTCTCTTGTGCTTGTTTTGTAATTTTTAAGCCTTAGCTGTGCGCTGGAAGAGCGAGAAGGCGCACAGCACTGACAGGAGGCAGAAGCAGCTGCTAAAACCTTCCCAAGCTGGAGCGAACATGTGAGGCTGCAGCAAGGTGGCCGGTGGGTATGCTGCTCCCACTGGTACGCGCCTGGCAAAAGCAGCGAGCTTCTTCCAAAACAGATTATGGAAATGTAACTATCGCTTCCGAGCGGCGGGGAGGCAGCTCGTGCAGCTGCGTGCGGTGTCCGCGTGGCACCAGGCGCACTGCGTGCGTCCCCTCCGTGCCATCCATCCCCGCCAGCCCCGTGGCATGGAGCTGCCCTGCGGAGCAGAGCCCGGGCTGCTCTCCCTGCTGGGAACATGGCCAGCGGGAAGCAGCGCAGGAAGCCTCTGCCCTGCTATGTGCATTTGGTGCATTCGTTGCAAATGTTTTCCCATCATTTCACTTGTGTTCTGCTCCTGCACCTCTCGGGGACCGCAGTGAGTGGGTATGAGGAGGAATCCCGTGCTGATGGGGCTGGGCAGCAGAGCACCAGGACAGCCGGGTTGCTCAGTGCGCTGCGCTGTATCCGTCACTGCTGGTGCCAGCAGGCTGGTTTCTTCTGTTGCTCATGCTCTGCTACTGATTCCACGTTAACTGTGCGCTTCCTTCTCGAGTCTTTGCGTGCCATTATGATGCCATTTCAGTGCCTCCTTGTTTTCCCATCAATCCATCACCGGCTGTTTCCAGCCAAGTATTGAGTCTTCCCACTTCCATGCCTGTTCTATTCCAGATATCCATCGTATCACAGTATTGGAGCCATGTGTCTACCTTTCCAGGAGGCCTGGCCCTGTCTGGGGCCCCTGAAAGCCTTTGGCTTTCACTTGCAGAATTATGAAGTATCTCTGTATGGTAGAGGCAAAACAAGCAAGTTTGGGAGACTGAAGAAAGGGTGCGAAGTCAAGCAGGCAGGAAAACAAAAAGCATAAAAAAGGATAAGAAAAAGGGAAACTGTGGCTCAAGATAACAGCAGCAGCTGCGATCGAGGGTGAGAACTCCTCAGATACTTAGTCTGTTACAGAAAGGGAGGTCTCTAATTTCACTATGGACTGCAGGAGGCTCATGAAGGTCTGGCTTGCAGATGAAAAACGCAGGCACTCACTTATTCCTCTAGTTCAGGAGGCAGCATTTTATGCTGCCAGTTGTCCGCCCTCCCCTGCCAAATCTGAGGTTCCCAAGTGCTCAAATATTATTTCATATTTGAGATTACTACAGTGCTGCAGTTCTTAAGCATACTTTATAAAGAAAGCAAACTGTCATCTGAATGCATTTTTATACTTTTCTAATAACTAGTACTGCTACAAGGCATGAGCACTGTCAATGTCACTAGTATGATAAGACTCAGCCAGATACACAACTTAAATACTACTCAAATACTTGCATTTCCTGGGCCACTTTCAAAAGGGAGACTTTGCTAGTTTCCTTTTCACCTTCAGGTTATGCAGAGCACATGTTATCCTGTAACAGGTTCTCCTGGGTTCAATAGGTGAAACTCGGATTGTCAGAAGATACAAGTCAGATGACACCTGCCCAGTGTGTTTCCAGTTTGGATTCATGTGCATTGTGGGGGAAAGGGAGTAGGAATAACCTCTGTTAGTTACCTAATAAACTTTCTTCCCCAGTGTTGGTTTCAGAAGTATCAAAACAGCCTTTAAAGATATCACACCTGCTACAGTTTCATTTATTCCTGAACACTGACACACAAATGCATAAAAGAAAAACATTCCAGTGTAGTGAATTGTAAATGTGAGCGTGATCTCTTTGGCCACATTATTGCATGTGAGATTTTCAGTCAATGCTTAAAGTAAGTCTATACTCATGTGGTTCTCAGTAAAAGCAAACATTACTTAAGTGACCTCACACTCTTTGCACCTGAACATCATTTTTGACCTTTGCTATTTGTGTACTTGGCAAAAAAAATAAAATAGGTGTTTTTTCAGTAAAGTCATCTCAACATCTTGTTTTGCAGGAGATTATTGCAGCACATGACATTCCTTCCCTGAGGATGCTGCCTCGCACAGCCCTTTCCCAGGGTGCCTCACGGTGCCGCTGGCAGCTTCTCAATGCCCCGGTGGGCACCGGGGCAGCTCGGGAGTCTTAAAGGCATTTAATTAATCAGATTTTCTTGAAAATTCCTACAGATGTGCTCATAGCTTTGAGAATCTTCCCCTTTTTACTCTTTATTTTAATAGCTATTACTGTAAATAGAGAATTATTAAACAACAGCAAAGACTCTGTTGTGTCTGCAAAGACTCTGTTGTGTCTACAAAGACAAGTCAATCCTAAATATGATACACTTAAAGCTGGAACCGAAGGAGAGTCACAGGCTGGGAAAGCAGCATTTTTCTTTCACAGCACCCCTGGACTAGGAGCTTCCAGCCACTTTAACACAAGTGAAAAATGGTGAGAGAGGCCTGTGTTCAAGCTGCTCTTTTGACAAAGCGGACTCAGGTGACGAATGGATTTTAGCCGGAATAGGAACAAATGTTTTTTGCCTTCTGTTAGGAAGACCCAAGCCTTGCAACAAAGTGATCCCAAGTTCCTTCAGCAACAGCATCTTTAGTAAATGCTCTTTCCTTTCTCCTATAAGGCATCTCCTGTCTTAGGTTTCAAGCTCTAAGTTGCTTAGGTGCAGTGTTATTCTGCTACAGAGGTCCAGATATACCTCTATTACAGTCTGCATTAAAAAACTAAGTCACTGGGCAGACTGAATGAAGTTTTACAACCACAGAAGCAGAATGACACAAATTCTTACAAGCTGGTCTGGAAATGGCGGGAAGCCATGTGTCTGGAGTACAATTTGGTTAGAGAGTTATAATTTATTACCCAGGAGATCTGGAAAGAAGCTTTACCAACCACTTTAATGTTATTATTGCCATCTTCCCCAGAATTCCATATAAAGCAATTACAGGATCACAATAGCAGTACAGAAAGAGTGGAAAGATAACAGTATTTTTTATAAAATCAATACTATTTAAATTATTCAAATACTAGATAACAATATGCTTAACTGCATGGCATTTCCTTGAGTGTATTCAAAATCATATCTCATATTTGTTCAATATATTTTTTAAAAATATTTGTGTCTCAAATATAAGAGGTTCCATGGGACCCAAAACTGTGTCTGTGCTTGAAACAATATTGAGGTTTTATTCAAACTTAATCCAAATGATAAAAATTCAGCTATTGAGATTTAATTATAGCTATCAGTTTGTACAAAAAGCAAAAAGCAAGTAAAATGAGATGTATTATATAGCAAACTGCTTTGACAGAAAAATTCTAAAAAGAGATTCTGTAATTTCATGTGCTGGTGGAATTAGCATTTATATCAAAGATACTCTGAAGAAAAAGCTGATGCCATTAGACTTTCTCATTCCCAATAAAAAAGATTGCTATTTGAAAACAACCCCGCCCATAGGTTTGTTCACTTGCAATATTCTCAGTGATGGGAAAAGCAGAGCAGGAGACTCATAAACCTTAAGAAAAAGAACGATGGTGTCAACACCCATTATAAAAGATATTTTACTGCTTATAAAATAGTAGTAGTAAATCTTAGACTATAAAGAATTAGCCAGTCATGAAACTAAATATAAGAGAACTCCTAAACTTGATACAAGTTTAAATTAGTATCTGCATGTATCCTAAGAGATAAAAACACGTTTTAGATTAGATACCTAGATCCTGAGTTTCACTTAAGATAATTAGTAAATCACTATGATGTCCTTAACCTCAGTTTTATTATTCTAGGATATAAATAAAATTCTAGGAAGTCTGTCATATTTTAGTTTTTAGCTATCCTTCTTCATATGCAAGGTGTAGTCATTAAATACGCTTTAAAATGGGCACAATAGAAGAAAATTGTTATAATGCTACTGTCTATAAGTGGTTAATTTGTTTTTGTTTTTTGGAAAAGCATTACGCTATTAACAAGGGTATCATGTGTCTGTCTTTTACATTCATATCCTATTTTATAAAATGGAAAGTTAGTGTGAAAAATTATGGAAAGTAATTCACAATCTTGTACCATGGGGGGTAAAAAAAAGGCATAAATAAATAAATAAAATCCTCTCCTCAAGCTAAAGATAGTCATTTGGGCACCAGTCCTCACCCTTTCCCTTTTTAGAAGAAAAAGCTTTAGCAGTGCTATTTGCATCAGCACGCCTTGTTCAAGAAGCGCTTCAGAACTGCCCAAGAAAATCCTGCTGTTACTGTCTCGAAAGCCCAGGTGATGCTCACGAGAAGCAGCGCCAGACGCCACGTGTGTCATGGCCAG